GGATGCACTGTCATCCTATATTCTGACACCTTACCACAAGGACCGTCATCAAACCACAAAAACCTCAAGTGATCTCTGTCACTCTCTGGCACCTTCACCTGTAGGAACATTTCCTCAATATCCGCCGCGACAGCAACTGTAAACTTTCTGAATCTCAATAGCAGTCCCACTAATGAGCTCACGCAATCTGGGCCACTATACAGATTATCATTTAAAGAGACTCCTTCATGTTTCGCAGAACAATCAAACACCACACGGAGTTTACCTGGCTTCCTCGGGTTAAAGACGGGATGATGGGGCAAATACCACTTCCCTGGCTCACTCTGATCAACTAGTCTTTCAACGTAACCCTTCATTATATGTTTATCGACGACTTCCTTATATTTGGACCAGAGTTCTGCATCTGACAGAAATTTCTTCTGTAAACCCATTAGTCTCTTAAGAGCAACTTTCCTATTACAAACCAACTGTCTATCTTTGAATCTCCATGGTAGGCCAACGCTGAAACGCCCGTTTTCGTATTTACAAGAGTCCTCGGCTATTTTAACTGCTTTTAAGTCTTCTACAGAACGACCCTTCCCTGGGACACCGCAGTCACAAAACTCCTTGTCATACATATTTTTAATCATAGTTTCTAGTTTGTCCCCATCGTTTGTAACTAATGATGATATGTGGACTATGGGTATAGGTCCTCTCACTGTCCATCCCAGTGGTGTTTTCGTCGCAAACAGATCATCTCTACCTCCAAATCTCTCTTCTAATACCTTGTGAGCTTCTGGCACACTACATCCAATGAGTACTCTCACTCTTCCATCTTGCAGTGTTGGAAGAGGTATGTCACACAGGTATGGCTTACCGACAACCGTTTCACGACTAGGTACTATAGCTTCGCCAAGTTTCATACTGGAGGTAGTGTAAGCAGTATCCACTTCCACGGTCTCCCCAGTAGCCAAGGATTCTAACTGAAATGACACTCGCTCACATACTACTGTTTTCGCAGAATTGAAAGTATTTACAACCAAGGGTTGCTTTGGGCCTTTAATACCCAAGCAACCAGCCAGTTCAGCATCTATCAATGTAACGTCTGAACCATTATCCAACAATGCATAAGTCTCTACTGAAGATTTCGGTCCTTTCACCTTAACTGGTAATACCCCTAAGAAAACTTGTGGGATGTCAAGGGGTCTAGAGATACTATTACAATTAACCGAATTCCCAGGTTCGTTCACTGTTCTCAGAAGTGGGTGCATATCCGTTAAACCACTACTTCTTTTATTTGTCGCCTTACAATTCCACTTTGTATGCCCAATCTTTAAACAACTGAAACACAGCCGCTTCTGCTTTGCCATTTTTAACCTTTCTACGGGTGACATAGCGATAAAGCGATTACAATCACTCAATTGATGCATGTTATGGCAAACAATACACTCATCCTTTCTCGTTGTGTCTTGAGACTTCACCACAAATGCCTTCCTTATATTCACTGGTTCCTTAGGTTCTACCTTAGAATGCAAAATGCTGGCGAATTTGCCCATCGCCTGGTTGACACTGTCCTTCACCAGTCTAAGAATATCATCAAACCTTGGCTCGATACCCTCATCCTCCATACGGGAGCTTATCTTCACCCACTTCCTTTGCAGTCGAGTAGGTAGGCGTCTTGCTATTACTTCTAGTATAAAACTCGAGTTGAGGTCACTCATGAAATTCATCGAAATCAAGGTATTCTTATAAGTCATAAGATTATCTAAAAACTCAGTAAGTGCCTTGGAGTCATCTTGAAGTTGACTGCCGTTACCTTTGACAGCTTCGTATACGTTCCTTACAATCATCGAAGGTCTTCCAAACCTTTGACGTAATATGCTCATAGCCTCAGCGTATCCCTCATTAGGGGGCATGAGCTTACAGCACTGTATAGCTCTTGAAGCATCTCCAGTGCAATACCTCATCAAATACATCAATTTCAATTCATCACTTAATAGAAAACTACTCAACATGATCTCAAACTCCTTTACAAATTGTAAATAATCAGCCGGGTTTCCATCGAAACACCGTGGTTCAAATTTAGGGAGTTTGATGTTCCTATTATCCCTGAACGGCGAAACAGTAACATCAACCATGTCATGCTTAACATCAGACACATCGTTACAATTAACAGACAAGTCACAATGACTTACTTTCCTGTTTGCATCCAAGACGCTCTGTCCCTTCTTTGACCCAGGCATTGTTGAACTTGACCCAATTCCAAAATAGTTCCAGATATTGCTTGTTCAAAGAGGACTTGACCGGCACCAGTAAAGATGAACGGTAACTATCCAATCTGTTACCAACGGTCCAAACCCGTCGAAAACTGACTTCTCCGTCAGAAACTGTCAGCCACGTCTCGTAAACCGTTAATGCCCAGCTCTTGCTACGCTCGGGCTCACGCTGTCGCTTGAAGTTTCTCAGAAACGCTTAGTAATAACGGACGAAAAAACCAAAACACCAATTGTTGACTCGAGGATTCTTTATTGTTACACCAACATATAAATGACGTATGACTAAGGTCTGTGAACAAATATTACAATAATAAATCACAATATTACTTCTGACGGTGTTTTACTGACTTCTTTCTGAACAGCGACCGATGAGACGATGACTGTCGTATTGATGCCTCCGCGAAAATTGGGGAAGTTGGTTTTGAGCAAACAACCATGAACTGATCGTTCAATCTTCAACTACATTGACATCTGCAGTAAAGCTCTCCTTTTTATCGGGATTCTTTTTTTTGTGAGTGGTAAATTTGGGGTGTGATCTATCGTCCGCTTTTGTTCACTTGAAATTTTTAAAATTTGATCTGAATGTTCTTTGTACGAGATGGCGGTCTGAGCCGAAGCCTGTCTCTCTTCTTTTTGTTTCGCCCATCTGTTGACACTCATGTAGCCTTGTGGACATTCTTGTGCTTGTATACGCTGCCACATATCACTAGTTCATTAAAGGAGCGGAAGTTGGTGAAGAGTTCCCTGTTTTGTTTCACCTCTCCAAATGCTTCTCTACCCAAGATGAATTCTCTTCCTGTTTTGTATGGTCGGACTTTGGCGTTCATGTCTCATATCAGTATTTTAATGTCACCGACTGGAGTATTGTCTATTGTTGCCTGTAGTTGCCGGTAGAACTCTTTTTCCTTTTCGAGGTGTGCGTTTTTTGTGGGTGCATAGCATTGTATAACTGACATTTTCCTTCTACTTGATTTGAATCTGGCAGTCATTATCCTGGGCGAGATTGCCTCCCATCGCATCAGGGCCTTCGTTTCCGTTGGTGACATCATGATCGCCACACCGTCGGTGTGCATGTGGTTGTCTTCTGGGTGGCCAAAGAGATCACTGGCTCTTCCGTTGACAATTTGACGAGTCCAGTCCACCCTAGTTATGTAGGTCTAAAATGTTGAACTCTCATATCCTTTATATTTTTTATTCTGTTTGAATATAATGTCATCAAAACACACCTCGAACCACCTGGATATTTTTGTTTATTTTGTGTCGCTGCATAAAACTAGATAGTATACTGACTGAGTTGGCAGTTAAGCAGATTGTGTTTAGTAAGTGTATTATAGTGTAGCATATCAAAACCATAGCCAGTACCTTAGGAGCCAGAATCATGGCATTATTCAACGAAACTTTGTTAATTTTTATGACAAGTGTGAAGATTCGCAATGTGTATTCGGCTATGTTGCCTTGCTTGAAAATAAGGTTTACGCATATAGTCATCTAGCAGCAATTCCATATTCAAATTTTTCCCCTATCCATCATCTACCTGAGCCACAAATCTTGACCATCATGCTCCTTTATCCATTTTTTATACCAATCAACACTAATTTTACTGAATAGATTGGATGAAATCAGTGCCATTGACGATAATTCTAAAACATCGAATGGAATTGTGAACTATAATGGATACAATATTTGACATTTCACTATTATTCCTGCTTGTTACATTCACACCTGCTGGTCCATTACTGAATAATTTGCACAGCTTCTTAGAGTGAACTTTAGCTACTACATACGAATTCCCGTCAGAAGCACATGTCTCCATGCTATAACTTGCTACTGGTGGAAGATGTACGCACCAGTGAAACTGACGCTTCGGTTAGCCAAGATTAAAACCCAGGGAAGGGAAGGACGAAGTCACAAAGTGATATGGAAAATATTCAAGGAGTGTGTCATGATAGGCAAATTGAAAAGTGAACTTGAGTTTTAGCTACAGATGACCCGGATTCGCAAGTGGAAGACATTAGCTACTACTCAGGTATCAATCACATCAGTAAACATATGTCAGTAACGAGCCTACACTTCTGTGAAATTGCACTAAATTTCCCCACATAATTTAGTTGCATGAGCCATGGCACGAAAACGCGTTAGGTCACTTTTAGAGTTTGCAAGTGTATTTGTAGTAATGAATTCCGGTAGTCATTGCACCTGGAATACCCATTGTAGGCATGGTAGCATCTCCCAATGTCCCATCCGCTGCCAACAAACAAGAGTAATGGAAGAGCACTAGGACTTCTTTCACCGTCTTTGGCAGCGCTTTCAATATTTGTGACTTAGTAAATGTGACCTCACTCTGAAATACCACACCGTTCATTTCACAGAGCATTTTACAGAGCAGAGTGGTTTACGATTTCTAAGATACGCTTTCCATTACGGTTGTTGAAGTTTTTGTTGATCACTAAGTCCATGGCACTTGATATATATATATTCCTTCACGTTCCCCAGTGGAACATAGGGCTTCAAGCTAGTGGCTTGAAGTTTGTGTAACAGTGTTTAATTTTACAGGATGAGGTTGCTAGCCTCATGCCCAACCTTTCCTCTTTACCAGCATTATTTCTGGCTTAGCGAGGTAAAGGAGTGCGTCGGTGACCGGGGCTTGAACCCTGGCCCCTCTGCATGGTCGGCGAACGTCCTAACCACTATGCCACCGACGCGCCTTGATATATTTACATTTCTGAAATTTAAAATTGTCAGTGTATTTCTTAGGATGACGTTATGTTTCCTAATTCGTAGAAGCAAGATTAAGTAGATGCTTGAATATCAGTTTACATTAGTCAGGCGGAAGAAATTCAACACAAATGAATTACACTTACCTTACCCGCCAGATTTGATAATTGCGGTACTAGAATGTACAACTCCAGGTCTCCGCACAGAAGTCCATGGAGTTCGAGTAGTCCTAGTGCAAGACAAGATAATTTTCAGAGACCGAGATTTACTGGCCCACCTAGGTAATTAAATCGACCTTAGGAAGTTGTGATTTGACGAAATTTACTAGGGAAACCGCCCGTGTACAATAGCAAAGAGTAGTTACTACAGTGAAATGATTTTAGACCAAACAATTCGATCTCTCAGAGTTACAAATGAATGCTGTTGATAATCTTCTCTGTAATTTTCACTCTGATTCAGTATGAGGTCACGGTTAAGTTTGTGGTGAAACCTGCAACGAAGGTTATGGGTGGTATCTATTTGAAACACTGAGCACTGTAACTTATATTGTTGGGTTATATTGACGACAGAGCCAAACACACATTATAAATAGTGGATCAAGTAACTGGTACTCCTCCAATTTCTGGTTTGCTTTCCATAGCTTCTCCTAAATACAACTGAGACTTCTTTTTGCAGCATATTAGAGACATATCGTACATAATTCACTTTTGACATATATATAATTGCTAAACGTTAGTTTTATACAATGTCACTTTTTACGTAGGAGTACATGACCGGCTGCTTGAAGTCATGTGACTGTAGTATACATCCTAAACGGTTGGTAATGTGATAATAATAAGCTAAATATGAGATAATTGATAATATTGTTGGTATTTGGTCATTCCGTTGCCCGGCGAAGTGTGATTTTTAGTACGAATTCCGCATGACCAAAGTATGCAAAATGTTTACGGATCCAGTCTACCAGTACTGACACTGAAGAAACAAAATATGAAGTTTTTCACATTAATTCAAGGAAATGTAATTATGAGACTATCTTCTCCTCGAAATATGCCTAACTTTTGTTGGCAAAGTCAACCTTTAAGCAGCAGTAAGTGTCAGGGGAGTGCGACTGCAGCAATGACCTTGAAACGCCCACTGAGCAAGTTAGTGAAACCTGGTAAATACTATTTGAATTATGAATAAAATATGCTTAGTGAAGTGTCATTTCATTAAATGGGATATCTGACATGTTTCATGTTATTTTCGGGAGAAATTAAGTAAAGGTTTCGGCTAGTGACAGGTTAGGGTTAGGTCAACCTAATGAGGGCAACGGAGCTGGTTCGAGTTAGATTGGAGTTAGTTTAGGAATATTTTTGCGCTTTAGGTTTAGGTTAAGGAAAGATTAGGACTATTGTTAGGGTAAGAAAACCTAGATAACTACATGCATGTAATGTTACTTTGGTGATGCTGCAATCCACAACCGAGTATTTTTGTCACACGTCAGGGAAAGGCATCCCTTGCCTGCTCTTTTGATTCATTATTTTTGTGAATATATGTTTTATAGGCGAACATTGCCTTTATCGTGTAGTAGGTTATTTCAAGATCATCTGTCCACTGCTGTTTACTGGTGCTCATAGTTTAACTTTGCTTTTCTGCTTTTTCTCAGTGATTTGTGTGGCTTGTGATTTGTTTGGAATTCTTCAGTACTTGATCGCTTACATGAGTTTATAGGCTTATAAATGATATCCTAAAGCATTTTGTGAGACCTCCACGTGCTTTCTTTACTTAAAGAAATCTGTTATGTTGTTCTTGCGACAATTGAAGCCAATTGTTGTAGCAGTCTGATTGAATATTGTGGTAGTCATATCAACTTTTTTTTTATTTCTGTACGTTCCCAGTGGAACATGACTGACTGGTTTCTACATAGAACTTTGCACCTACGTGCAGCACTTCAAGTCGCCACACTTCACTCAGCACAGAAAGCCAGAGAAAAAAGTTAGTTGGATATAGGGCTTCAAATTTCGGTAGCAGTGGTGTTCATTTCTACCTGAAGGGCTTGCTAGCCTCATGCCCGACCTTCCCTCTTTACCGGTCTTATCACTGGCTTAGCTATGTAGAGGAATGCTTCAGCCGGGGATCAAACCCCGGAGCAAATGCGTGGTCGGCGAGCATTCTACCGCTGTGCCGCTGACGCACATATCTGCTTATTCGACCATAGTTCTGTGTTATGCGGCTATATTGATAATTAATCAATAAATGTAGAGATGTTTTTGAATTTAGTGGTCTGTAGTATTATTTCTGCCTTAAGTCTCTGTTAGATGTCTATTTTGTCTGTTTGGTCGGTGGGTCCTCATTCCATTTAGTGCTTCTGGACATTAAGTAGCCTCATAAGCTTTAGTTTCATGTTGTATCGTTTGGTGTATAAGACGGCACTTGCTTTTTAGTAGTCATCGGTTAACTCTGAGGACCTATCGCTTTTTGATGGCACCTCAAAGCCTCATGCAAAGGAATTTACCGTCTTCGCTTTCCAGGACGGTGGAGACAACTTACTATATGCGTTAACTAAGGTATCGGGTGGCGTCTAGGAATCAGAGGTAGTCCCGTCGGGTAGGTGTAACTCATTGATTATCCTGATGTACATGAAGGGAAACAAGTCTTCCTAGGATAATTACATGGGTATTAGCTTGACTAATATGGTATCTAAAGTTCTGGGCCCAATAATAATGCGTAGACTAAGCGGTGCTCGGGAGGAACAAACACCAGAGAACCAGGCAGACTTCAGACCAGGAAGAGAGTATATTGATCAAATCTTCAGCCTTCGACAGATTCTGGAACATAGGCGTGCTTACCGGTGTGCAATCGTCATATTTCTTAACCTAAAGGCAGCATTCGATTGTGTCAACCGAGAGGTACTATGGCGATGTTTGGTTGTGAAGGAAGTGCCGAGAAAATACGTCGCACTGACCGAGACACTCCACTCAAACTCATACAGCCAGCCAGGTGAGAGCCTGACGAGAGTGGTCTGAAGTTGTGACACCTAGTGGTATCCGTCTGGGATGTCCACTGTCTTCATATCTGTTTAATTTCATGTTATACATACTAACGGACTTGACCCTAACTAACTTCAGAGACTCAGGGATTGACTTATTATCAGGGAATAATCTCGTTGACTTAGAATATGCATGAGGATGCTCCTGGGTGAAGACGCTGACAAAATGCGGAGTCTTCTGAACACTTTGAGGAGCAGCAATCTGCGTATATTTGGCATGCGATTCGTTCCCACCACATGTAAGGACTGGACTACACCGACTCCTAGCTTAAAGATAGGGAGTGAAGTGGTGGCTGAGCGTGTTGACCACTTCACTTATTTGGGAAGTCGTATCAACCAGTGCCAGCGAGTTGATCGCTGTGCCATTGGCACGATGGTTTCTTGATCACGATGATTAATGTATGGTTAAAGTGTAATAGGCTGGGTAATAAGTGAAGCAGTTAATATGGTCTTGAATATCCACAGGTTAATGAAGAATACATCAGTCATGCTTACCGACCTACCTTATTGCTGAATTTAAATAATTTTAGTAATTGAGTCAAAATATGTCACCTAAGGAATTATATGCTGTTAATCTGAGTCACTACATATATCGTTTAAGCACCGTTAGTTAGTAGTTAACAGAGCTAAGTGTTACGGCTCTAAGTCCAGATGTGTTTTCTCTTCCTTTAAAACTTCGGAAAAGTTTTTTCTTTCTAATTCTGTCTATTTTCTTCTTATTTCATGATTTCTCTACTTTCATTGGGTGAATTTGTCAGTATGAAGTACCATAATTCTGTGTAAGGCAGACCATTGCGAGTCCTGATTTTCTGAGTAAGTGTAAGACACGATTTTTCAAATAAAGCCTCAGTGTGTCAAAGCGAGATATAAATTCACATTTGGTTTCCAACTGAAGTGTTTAGTATTATTCATTTCAAGCACCTCACGTAGTTATGTTCATTCTTTTTTTAGGATTTTCAATTTGAGGTCTAGCATTACTACCTGTCCATGTTTAATAAGGTGGGTGATTAGCCCGCATTTCGATGACTCAGTTGTGTTTAGCCCAATGCATTATGTTAAGGTGGACTAACAAAATTATCGCGGGAAGAAGTATTTTAAAAAAACACGTCTACATTAACTCATTTGATTTTAAGCGTATTATTCAGAACAGTTAATAAGAGTAAATGCTACTGATAACTTTATTTCGTGCTTTTACTGCTGAACATGTTTAAATAATAGGGTTACAGTATTTTTTAACATAATTCATTTGTAGAATTCATACATCCCTTTCAACCAATCACATCCAAAACTTTTTTCTTTGTCTTATAGATCTCCAATTACTTTAACTCCACCTTTTGGCAATGAAAGATTCCCTCGGTATCCACAAGACCCTTCATTTCATTGGAGTTCACCACCTCCTGTTAACTGTTCACCTTATCGAACTAACAGTCCCGCGAGATATGGTACGCCAAATTTTAACCAGTCATCATATCAACAAAGCTTTTATTCTCCTATGAGCTCTTATGCTATACCAGGCTCATCATGCTTACCTAACTGCAATTCACCTATGAATATGCACTATAATTCAATATCCAGTGGTTCATATTCGACTGCACAAGAAGATTTAAGCTGGAAATACGATACATCCTACTCGAATTCTTCACCATGTAATGTCAACTCATGTTCACCAAGAAACAGTAACAGAAAATTTGGTGAAAACCGTAATCATCCAGTGAAAAATTGGATTGTTGCCAGCTTATCAGATCCTTGGGAAGGCTTGAAACCAGTTCGTACACCACTGTCGGGTTATTTAGTTGATAAACCACCTGCCCAAACACATACTATTCTGTTTGCTCCTCATGAGCGTCGAAGAAAATTGGAGCTAGATAATGGTGAAAAGATTACAGTTAGTCCAACAAAGAGAATACAACTAGTCTGTTCAGATTGAATTTGTAACTTTTAAAGTGTTTTTTATTTCACGTATATTTATCATTCCTATATATATATATATATATATATATATATATATATATACAATATTTATTTTTGTACAGTAGTTATTACCAGGTTTTCGAAGTCTTCTTCTGATTAATAAATTATTATGTATACCTATTCTTGAGCTACAATCTTTGACTCTATATTAATTAAATATTTGGTGCGCTAACTCCATACAAGAACTTGTAAGACATGGCTTCGTCCTCAAGTTCAATACATTTGAAGAGCATCCTCATGTTGTATCTTCATCTTTTCTTCAGGTGTCAGTTGTATTAAAAATAGGATGTGAAAGTCTGTAAAAAACATTTGTGTCGATTACTGTCTGTCTGTCTGCATTCAACATAGAACTTGGCACCGAAGTGCACCAGTTCGAGTTGCCACCTTCCAAATAGCACACAAAGGTAGACAAGAAGATGAGTGAAGAGAATCAATGGAGCTTGACAAGTACAAGAGTGAAACAGAATGGATAATGGTAGAAAGAAATATGAAAGATTACAGAGACTGAATACATCTGCGCTGGCCATTGACAACGATGAGTTTGAGCCATGTCACCTATTGTCTCCAGCCATTGATTCCTAGAGTCCCGAGGGCCCCAACCCGGAAGTCTGCATCTCCCTACCTGACTCAGTTTGACTGTCGAGGATTTCATGGATTGATGCCGTGTTTTTGTTTGGCCACCACTTACTCTTTTCCAACCTGCACCTATGTCGGCTAGTAATGCCCGTCGGGGGAGGCGATGGTTAGGCATGGGCAGCACGTGACCGACCTAGCCATCTTAGTCTATGTAACTTTATAGCCTCGTCGATTGATTTTCCCTCTTTGCCCAACACTCTACGCCTAACGTCAACATTACTTACCTTGTGAAACCACCTAACGTGATAAAGAGATCGTAGACATCTATGATCGAAAGCAGTCAACCTTTTCATGTCTTCAACTCGTATTGGTCATGTTTCAGAGCCATAGAGAAGGACGGAGCGAACTGTTGAGCAGTACACACGTCCCTTGGTTGATAGCCGGATGTCACGCCTACGCCAGAGATGGTGTAAGTCAGCGAAAGCAGCTCGAGCTTTTTGGATCCGTGGTGAGATTTCGTCGCCAATCAGTCCGTTGGTGCTGATACAACTTCCCGAATAGGTGAAGTGGTCAACATGTTTTATCACTTCACTCCCTATCACTAAGCTAGGTGGGAGTTGACCTAGTCCAGTCCTGTAGCAGCATCTTACATCTTGCAGGGGTGAATCGCATGCCAAACATACGAAGATTGCTGCTCAAGGTGTTCAGAAGACTCTGCATTTTGTCAGAATCCTCCTGCCTTAACAGGACTATGTCATCTGCATATTCTAAGTCCACAAGACTATTCCCTGGTAACAAGTCGATTCCTAAGTCGTTGAGTTCAGTTAAGGATACTTCCATTAGCATATCTATGATGAAGTTAAACAGGAATGGGGAAGGTGGACATCCCTGTCGGACACCACTGGTTGTTATCAATTCAGATGACAATTCCCCATAAGTCCTTACACGACTACGTAAGTTTGAATAGAGTGCCTTGATTAGTGCAATGTACTTTCTTGGCACTCCCTTCACAGTCAGACATTGCCATAGTACCTTTCGATCCACGGAGTCGAAGGCCGCCTTCAAGTCAAGAAATATAGCAATTGTTGGACGCCGAAAAGTGTGTCTATGTTCTAGAATCTGTCGGAGAGTGAAGATGTGATCTATGCATCCTCTACCTGGTCTAAAGCTTGCTTGATTTTCCCCTCGTTTGTTCCTCCTGAGTTCTGCTTAGTCTGTGCATGATTACTGAGCTTAGGATTTTACTACTATAGAAGTGAGAATTTTAACAGAATTATCTTTTTCAAGGGAAGTGATGATGCAGGCAATGTGTAACGTGAAACAGTGGTATATCAGTTCAAATTCCAAGAGTTCATAGCATTGTGGTAAGAAGAAATGAAAAGAAAACGATAAGCGAACGGTCAATAGTGTTATGAACGTTAGTAAATTACAGTCTAAGATAAATGCGAACGAAATAAGTTAAATCGAAATAACGAAAATAGGATAATAACAAGTTTAAGATACAAAATAATGTATACATTTAGTGATGGCAATTCGGTGTTTTGAAGCTGATAAAGAATTCAACTTCATGTTACTTATGAAAATGATTCAGTGTACAGAAACAAATGGTAGTGATTTTGTTCCTTAAAATGTGTTAAGAGTGAAACGATTTCAAATCGTTGGGAGTAGATAACGACAAATTCTCAAACGTGGGTGTACGTTTTTTTGACCCTTGTTAATGAGATGTATCCCCATACTTTTTCTATTCACTTGGTATTTGAAGTTCACAACCGGATGGCAAATGACTGTACATCTCTTGGTGCCCATGTTGTACCAAGTTTTATTTAAGTAAAATAATTAGATTATGAATTTCTTCAGTGGCAGTTAAAGATGTCACTGAAATTTCGCCTAGTTTTTAAATATCTCTAACTGCACTATGGTATAGGTATAAAAACCTTGATCCAGTGTTTTCCGTTCGTTGCTTGTGTGGCATCTTGAACCGATGAAAAAGAGTTAGGATTAGTTTGCCCTTAAACATGACACTAGTCCATGAAGTTTTTGACTGTTGGTTTGAATTACTCAGGGTGATATAGACGGTCTAATTACTGGTTGGAGACTGTCTGTTATATGGCTGGAAATCGTTTCCAATGGCGTATATGTATTCACTCCTTATCTTCATCCAATTTCTGAAAATTATTCACCAATCTTCATCTGGTTAGTCTTTCTTCGGGACAATTTCGTTATCTGTTGTTTCATTACATTTACTTTGTATACTTTTCTTTGTGTTACTACTCCACAGTGTGTCAACTTGAACTGATACACTTTAGCGAAAAGTTATACTCTGGTCATTTTATCGTTTGTAACCATGTAGTATTAAATGTAATACTCTATCGTACAAGACCGTCCAAAGCAGTGTATGCCATTGACAATAACTGCTCAACAAATGTTATTTTCTCATGTTATTTAACTCGGCCGCTAACTACTACCTTGCCGTGGTGGTCGGGCTTGAATACCGTAATGACCCAACATGCTAAACTGACTGGGACTCTGTCCCTGCAGGTCCTACCATGTCAGAAAGGTTGTTTGGATAGCGGTTAAACTAAAAGCAGTTACCATGGGGTACATGGGCTCCAGTATCCAATCAGATCATATGGCGTGTGAACCCATATGGGTCACCGGAAACCATTGGAATGCAGCTCCTTACGCTGCTACGCTGCCTTGCGGATTAGACTCCAAGTCAAAGGCTCGGGGGGGGGCGGGTCCCTTAATAAAACCACCTGCTCCGGTCTGGGCGCCCGGGCAGTATCTCAGCCCTCACACAATGAATTGAATGAAGCAACAGACAATCAATGAAAGTCATCGCGTGCTATTACACGTGTTGCAGTTTCCTTCTTTCTTCTCTTCCCGATGGTAGTTAACGAATACTGTATGAACTTGTTAAGCATGACTGTTTTCCTTCCAGATGAAGTTCTTTATCCGTTCTCTACTTATACATATATATATTTCTCTTCTTTCTTTTTTTCTTTTGATCTATGTTGTTTTATTATTATTGTGTGGCGCATCCTTCTTGGTGCCATATTGTACCAAGTTTTTTTGCGTTTAAATAAATAAATATATGTTATTTAAGTACTGTGTATAGTATTGACAGTGACCCGACCGAAAGCTGCTACCTTGACGTGGTGGTCGGGCTTGAACACCGCAATGACCTAATCAAGCTATACTGGCTGAGACTTATGTCTCTTGAGGTTCTACCATGCCAGGCAGGTTGTTTGGATAGCGGTTAAACAAAAAGCAGCTACCCAATCCAATACCATGATACAAACAAATTCACAAAATTTCATGCCGGATCGGCCGTGGCCCGGATTAACAACGACCGCGCTTCCTGCTGCCGTGTCACAGGGCAGGAGTGATAAGTATGCTACTGAGGCACACCAAACAAAAAAGAACGAACAAAAACAGGCCGCGTGTGACCGGCCTCAAGCAGTTGTCCCCTGGGCTCTGCGGTCACGCAACCAACTTCCACGGTGTGGGCAGCCGGGAAGTAACAATCGCCCTCACAATCCGAAATGCACACAAAACCTCTCTAATCCTCACTTATCTTTGTCTTCATCTTCATCTCTATTACCTTGCCTTCCTTCCACTGATGCAACTCCTCTACTTGATGGCTCCTCACTCCCTCTTCACTCTGTGTCCACTAAAAACGACGAAAGCCAAAAAACCACCACCGATAGTCTCCTAAAGCCACGCCACCAATTTCATATAGGAGCATTTAATGTTAGGACACTTTGCCAAATAGGACAACAAGCATCACTAGCTAAGACCCTGGCATCCCGAGCCATTGATGTATGTTGTGTTTCAGAAACACGCATACAAGACCCAAGTGTGGTTATTCACCTAACCCCACCTGGCCAACAGGATGAATCTTCAAAATTCACCTTGAGGGTGTCAGGAGATGCCACAGCTAGTTCACGAGGATTAGCTGGCGTAGGGATAGCTTTGAGTACTAGGGCAGAAAAGACATTACTTGACTGGATCCCAGTAGATAGCCGAATGTGTGCTGTCCGTCTGAACGGATCAGTAAGAAGGAGAAAGGACTGCACTACTCGCCGATGCCTTTTCGTAATCTCCGCCTACGCCCCCACTGACTGCAGTTCGGATGAAACGAAGGATGAGTTCTACCAAAAGCTGTCTAGTTTGGTGAGAAAGGCTAAACGCTCAGATATAGTCGTTCTAGCTGGTGACTTTAATGCTCAAGTAGGGAAATTGTGTCAATCTGAGAAGGATGTCGGTGGCACCTATGGAGTTCCGTGCCAGCGAACCGACAACGGTGACCGTCTCCTACAGTTCTGTTCAGATAATCATTTGTTTCTTGTAAGCACTAACTTTAAACACAAGGAGAGACACTGTTTAACCTGGCGACCCCCATCATCAAACCAACGCTGGACACAAATAGACCACATAGCAATAAGCTATCGTTGGCGTGGGTCGGTAGGAGATTGTCGCTCCTTCTGGAACACGTGTGTAGATACCGATCACGCACTGGTCCGGGCTCGTGTGTGCTTACGACTGAACGGACGTAGGAAACAGCTGGCGGTAAAACCATCACGTCCCCAGCTCGATCAGGAAACTAAATCCCTATTTGAGGAAGAACTAGCTAAACGCATATCTGAATTCGACAGCTGTGCTCACCCTGGAGAAGCCTGGAAGAATATTCAGTCAGCCATAGATACAGCTGTAAAAGCTGTGAATAAGGCAAATC